ACTTGTCAGAAATTAGCAGGGGGGGAGGGGGGGTGGAAAACAGGGGAGGGTCATAATTTTTTGAGCCCTTCAAAAGGGAGGGTCATGAAAAAATAGACAGCAAAAAAGGGAGGGTCACGAGAAATTAAGCCATTGTGATCATAAAGAGTTTTTTAATATGTTTAATGTTTATATTTCAAAACTACAAAGCTATTGAAAGTATAAATGTAAACAACCCAACTTTTAATATAAAAAAGGGTTCCATATCAATGGAATTCACGAATTGAATGACAAAGTTGATGGGGACACCACAGAAAATGCAAATTGTCTTTGGGCACATCTAGAGAAAGTTAATGTCCTCTGCAAGACAGCAATCACATTCATTGGAAGCCTACAATTGCCACCACTTTGTGACTACATTCTTCAAGCAACTGATGCTGGACCAGGCGTTGGTGTTTCTAACGTAGAGGTGAAGTACAGAGACGTTGAGATGTCAAGAATTAATGAATGGATGCACATGAATAGGATTCACAGGGCGCCTCACGACTCAAGCCAAAATGAGGCTGAGCGTCCCAACGCTGCCATTGGTGAAGCTTTGGTTGACGGCAGAGCATTAAAGTGGGAATATTTTAAGCCAGCGGATATCATGAATGAGGAAGAATTTAAGAAACTCACTGTTGCTGAGATCAAGAAGCTTGAGGCAGAAACGATGGAGCGTAACGCGTGGAAGGTTTCAGAGGAGGTTGTGTCAAGAATTGATGGTGAGCCTGGTCCTGCAGGAGACTGCATGAAAGCGTTTGTAACAAAAAAGAATGACCAGCAGTTCTTTTTTAACACTGAATACCTGCATAAATATAATGCTGGAAAATCAGAAAAGAAGAAAGTTCAAGTCCCTGGGCACCACTACTTCAAAAAAATCGATAGCATTATTGCAACGTGCATGAGTTCTGGAGAAATGTTTCATGAGTACTGTGTTGACCAGGCAGTGCCTCCAACTCCTCGTCCAGTTCCAGACATCACCAAGCTCCCAAAGTTCCACTACTTACCTCTCCAAGATACACCAATAAGAAAGGAAAATGGTAATAGAAGGGAGGTAGATGATTTCCACCCTAGAGCACGCTTGAGAGCACTTCATAAAGAGAAAGCAATCAATGTAGAGGATGCTTTAAGTGTTAAAGCCTTCTGTAACAAATACATTGTCGAGGAGAACCTTGTAAATGTCTTGTGAAGATTTTGACTGGCAGAAAATGTTCAACGAGGGTACCTTGGCAAAACAGCGTGTTTGCATACTTGACAAGTACATTGAAAAGTATAATCTATCTGCAGTGAGAAACAAGAAAAAAAACAGAGAAAGTCAGTGCTATCGTCCATCATTTACAATATGCTGTTTCTGCAAGTGAAAGTGGTGAAGACCTGGTTTTAGAAGAAATAGGAGAGTCAAGTGATCAGCAGTCAGGATCAGATACAATTTGAACACAGAGGGTTTATTTTGGTTTCGAGTCGTAGAAACTATTATCATCCCTTTGAGTCAAAACCTTTCTTTGTCCTGTTTCTCCAACACGGAAATCACTTGCATGTTCTGAACATCACTTGCGTGATGACATCACAGGTTGTAATTCAAGTTTGCTTCTATTATTGATAAAATTATATTACAAATACTGAAACATTTTTCTTCTACCACTGTATCACATATTTGGAGGTAATATTTATCCAGGGGAGGGTCATAGAATTTTAGGACGAGTTCAAGGGGAGGGTCAAGATATTTCAAGCCCTTACCGGGGGAGGGTCATTGTATTTTTATCGCTCGACTGAAAATCTCCACCCCCCCTCCCCCCCTGCTAATTTCTGACAAGTCCCTAATGAATATAATTTATTATTTCTTGATAATATCAAATCTTATATAGGTTATACACTGACTAAAGTCTGTAATAGTTTCACACATTTAAATGGAACGCTACCTCCAAATGGAAATTTGAAGCCAAATCCGAAGGCCAATCCCAGTGTTTTCACGCTGATGCGAAAAGCGCAGGCAATGCGTCAAAATGAATATGTATTCTTGAAAACCGGCTTAAAATGAAAAAGCGTTTTAACAGCGCTCAAAGATTTCTATTAATGTGATTTATTCAGATAACTTTTCTTGTAGACTTTACTTTCAGTTATTCTTATTTGTTTTCATGGTTTTTCTGCGATAAGACATAAACATACGTGTCTTGAGCCCCATGCATACACGCGTGTCTGGGACTCGAGTTTGGCTTCAAGATGAGCAGTTTATCTGAAGATAGCGTTCCAGTTATACTGTACGCATGCATTTCAATAATTTGACATGAGAAATTAATTTCCACACAATCGTGGCTGAAAGCGCAATATTTTCACTTCACTATATTCTTTCCTGCATTATTCAATATTCCTACATTCAAAGTTCCTGTAAATACCTGGGCAAGGTATTTATTGGTATTTATTATTAGCATGACAAAATTTCTGGATGCTGATTGGTTCAGAGAAGTACAATTATTTAATTAATTATTTATCTTCTGTAATCAGTGGCAAATACTGCAATTTCATTGGTTTACAGGAGTGCGATTTGAGCATTAATCCCTATGGATTAATCCCTATGGTTGCCTGCCTGCGCGCGGGCGAGGCATTGTATAGTTGTATTATTTCCTAAGGTAGGCAAATGCAATCAAACTAACGATACATATACCTTCAAACAATCACCAAAATACTTCAAATATCTTTACAACTACGCTAAAATAATCACGGAAATAAAATCTACGATACTTTTGCTATATACTAACAATATTTTAACGTACAAAACAAATTTGTAATGCGAGATAAATACGAAAAGTTTTTGAATTTTTTTTTCAATTCTTGAATGAGACGATGCTGGATTCGCGCTCGACGTTTTTGATGGCGTTTCAAATGACGAATTTCCAATCTCATTGGCTGTCATTTCGACGTTTTAAAACCGTAAAAATGACAGCCAGTGAGATTGAAAATTCGTCATTTGAAACGCCATCAAAAACGTCTAGCGCGAATCAAGCATCGTCTCATTCAAGAATTGAAAAAAAATGCAAAAACTTTTCGTATTTTTCTCGCATTACAAATATGTTTTGTACGTTAAAATATTGTTAGTATATAGTAAAAGTATCGTAGATTTTATTTTCGTGATTATTTTAGCGTAGTTGTAAAGATATTTGAAGTATTTTGGTGATTGTTTGAAGGTATATGTATCGTTAGTTTGATTGCATTTGCCGACCTTAGGAAATAATACAACTATACAATGAGGCAACCATAACATTGGGCTGCCTATGATTAATCGCACCTTTTCTGAGCTGTAATCGCACTCTTGTCTACAACCAATGACAATCAGTCTAGTATTTACAACTAGCCAATCAGCCATTCAGGATACAAACTTTGAATTTTATTTTCTTTATTGCTGTAAAAAATTTCAAAATGGAGGAATTCACAAATTTTGAAAATTTTGACCTTTTAATTTTTAAATCAGTCCTCCGAAACCGTCAAAATTGAGGTCGGAAAAAAATGCCGACCTAAATCTGACCTACAATCTTGGACATAACTGGTTGAGACTATTTTCCCCCTATAGAAAATTCGCGTATTTTTATGATAAACTCCATGTTGAATCATGTTGCCATTCTTAAACCTCCACTCCCCCAACTCAATGTTGAGCTTGTATCATGGTATATTACCAAAAGTTGTTTCGGCGTTGTTCACAACATTGAACTGGGGGGGAGGGGGAGACAAAGTTTGTTTTGTCAATGTTCAATAACTTTGTAATATTAGCTGGAATGGTCTCAAGGGTTTTGTCCAAGATTGTAGCTCGGCACATCTCGGCATTTTTTCAAATCTGTTTCCAAGTTTTGGAGCACTAGTAGCCTGCACTATTAATCACGTATTTACGAATCATTGAAAAGTATAAATGTCACGAAGGCTTTTCTTTTAGAGTCTTACCTAAATTATATCATAATACCCGTTAATTCTTAAACCTTACACCAAAGTGTATCGAATTCTATAATCGCTGACTTTTTAACAGCTATTAGCACCAAAAAAGTTTCTTACTTTGGCTGAATTAAGGTCGGCAAACCTGGGAGGTTGATAGGTCGGCATTTTAATACGGTAGGTCGGCATATTTGCCGAATGCCGATCTCGTTTTCGAGGGTTGTTAAATTATATATTTTCTGACGAAAATGACCTACCTGTTCTTCCAGCAGAAGACACCGAACTAGACACAACCAGGCAGGAGTTACATTTCAATCAAATTCAGATGATTAACTGAACTAAAGAATAATTGTTTTTGTTTGTGGAAACACCACGTAAATTTATTACTGCATGAACTAAAGAACTTCGCTATTTTGCCGAACACGTTATAAACATACAAATTATGTGAAACATGGCTTCCCAATTGTGTGTTGTGTTGAATAATTCAAACAAATGTTGTCATGTGATTATACCGGAAATAATGCCCGGAAGTTAATAATATGTTAATTTGATTATATATGATAAATAATAATTCAAAATTGTACTATTTCACTAAGAATTGTCGTGATAAAAATTTAATAATTATATTGAATTTCAACAAATTGTATTTTTGTGCTTTTCCCCCTTAAACAGTTTGAAAACAGAAGATAAATAATTAATAGAACGAATTAAGTCGTACTATTAGTATAGGTAATCATGCGATGGCGAGTACAATTAGGGATTAATAGTACGAGTGATGTTTGGAAATTTTGCCAAAATTGGACGAGCCGCCGGGGCGAGTCCAATTTGGCAAATTTCCAAGCATCACGAGTACCATTAATCCCTAATTGTACGAGCAACATCGCATGATTACTTGTTTATTATTAACATGACAAAATTGGATACGTACTTTTCAATGTCAGCATCATGTTCTCTCGCCAAAGCCCAGTCCCGCCAGACTTTCAACCAAAATTTGGTGCTTTTGTTTGTATCTTCATTTAGTTCTTTTGTTAAAGCAAAATTTGGTGATTTTGTTCGTATTTTTATCTAGTTCCTCCACGGCAATTTCATTTCACGCTTGTTTGTTTTGGGAAAATCATTAATTGCACTGCAGTACAATTAATGAAATAATTGTACTCCTCTCAACCAATCAGCATCCAGTAATTTTGTCATTTTGTCATTTTGTAATCACTCGTATGATTATGGCATTAATAGCACTCCTATTCGTTCTATTACCATCATTAATTGTAGTGCAGTACAATTAATGATTTTCCCAAAACAAACAAAATGGGGGAAAGGTATTTTAAACACAAGCGTGAAATGAAATTGCCCTAGAGGAACTAGATGAAAATACGAACAAAACCACCAAACAGTTTTGCTTTAACACAAGAACTAAATGAAAATACGGACAAAAGCACCAAAGTTTGGTTGAAAATCTGGCAGGACTGGGCTTTGGCGAGAGAATATATGATTGAGAAGTATCCAATTTTGTCATGCTAATAATAAACAAGTATAATCATGCGATGTTGCTCGTACAATTATGGATTAATAGTACTCGTAATGTTTGGAAATTTGCCAAATTGGACTCGCCCCGGCGGCTCGTCCAATTTTGGCAAAATTTCCAAACATCACTCGTACTATTAATCCCAAATTGTACTCGCCATCTCATGATTACCTATTCTAATTAAATAATAATCATTAGAGTTTTGCCTAATATCCATATTTCTACTATGAATTAATGAATATTCCTACCCCAAGCTTTCGTCATCGAACATACGAACATCTATTTCTATTATTATTGTATATGAAAAATAATTATGTGAAACTCAAATTTCCGGCATGTGAAAATGACGTTTCCACTAACTATAGTTAACTTTAATCACTTTTTTATACAACCGGCCCCTGAATTTCAAATATAAAATGCGCGCGCATTTTCACTCCAATTCCACGCATCATTTTACATGTGAAATACTGGTAGTAAATCAAGACCCTTGCACAAACCAAATTATTATATTTATTCACTTACATTTCAGCTGCTGCCATGCATCAAATCTGAAAACTTTCGGTGGTGAAAAACCAAGAAAAGGACCGAGCGATAGCACTGAGCAGTGCTTGCACAGTAAAATGGAAATATGTTATGTACGATGTATCAAAGAACTATCTTTGAGTGACATCACTGTTGATTAGCGTAGTATACACATGCACTGCACGGTCCTTAATAAAAGTTAAATCCACTGGGAATTGGCGAA